AATCGTATACCGGAATTCTGGTGGAAGCCTTATTTTAAGTCAAATAAGATCAGGGGAATAGTGGAGGTTTAGCTTACGGGGGTGCAATTTTTGCACGCGTAAGCGCGCTGAAATTTTTTTTTGAGCACCCCCCTAACGGTTGATGTTATTAGCCAAGAAAAGTAAAAATCTAAATATATAAGTAAGTTTACTGTTTAACTTTTGCTCTAGAGGGGGCCTAGGGGGTGCATGTGTAGGGGGGGCACAGGGGTACCGGCCCCCCACTACGCACCTGAATAAGATTGTTAATGGTTGAAGTGCAAGGAAATTATACACTCATGCCGAAGTATGAATACTAGATAAAATATGTAAATACTTGAAAGTCTTAAAATATTCTTGAAAAGTGAGTTTGACATTTTTATTTGAACCAATATTTAAATGTTGGTTTCTCGTGGAATATTTGTTAAATATAACATATTACTGCTTCTCAAATATATATTTAGAGAAAATGTAAGCAAAATTTTAAGTGAATCTTCCCAGAAACATGACAATGTCTGATTCATAGTTTCTACCATTAAAAGCTTGGTTTGATCAAATATGAATGAAAAATCAACATGCATAACTAGGAAAACTACTTTACTTCGTTTGCGCTTTAAACCTAGAAAAACGACAATATCTCTTTTGCAAAGGGGCATGTAAGTTTGCGAAATTGAAATAGAAACTTATTCAGACGCTTTCTATAATTTGAAAGAAAAGAATTTATTTTACTTATTGCAAATTTATCAATCATTGCAAAACCTTGGTTTTGTTGCAACATTTATATTTTCAATCAGAGAAACCAAATTACCCTTTTTCACGTTCAAGTTGTTTCTCAAGGCTAAGTTTCATGCAGTGAAGTCAACTTGAAAACAAAAAAATGTAAAAATGTTCTGTGTAAATTAATTATTGGTTATGTAGGAACTTAAGAATACAGTTAAACAAACTTTTACAATGCATGTACATTGTACAACGTACATAAAAATATGAGAACCCCGTATATATGGATGGGCTACATTACAGTTTTCTTCGTGTATACACGCAAATCTTTCCCTTAAGTAAAAGTAAATTCAGCCTATATGAAGCATAAAGTCTGACCAGTCAATTTTGTTTCACCGGCTAGTCCTGTCCATAGAGCTAGGTACAGTACAAACTAGGACCGGAAAGGTTGACCCGACTCCGAAATTCAAATGTACTACGGCTGCCCGTGTATAAGTTGTCCTTTATAATTGAAATATCCTGTACAGTGCACATGTTTCAGACTTAGTGCTACAAAAACCTAATCTGGAAAGAAATTTTAAAAGTTTTTTCTTTAATCAATTGCATCAAAATAAATAACATATTGATACAAAAAAAATGTATAAAAAGAACATATAAAATTGTAATTAATTTTTGTTTAGAATATAAATAAAAATTGTATAAGGGTATGAGTTGAAAGAGTTTTGTGACTGTTACTTTCTTATATATTTTCTAATGTGTAAATAAAAATCCGAGAATTTAGATAAAAATCTTAAAAATCAGTTCAATCAAAACTGTTAAATCAAAAGCAGCTGAGTAACTTATGGTTCATTTTATTTAACAAACCATCTTTTAAATGTCTTGCTTTAAAAATTTTTTTTTTTTTTTAGTTTTGGCCCAACACCATCACGGAATTTTAAATTGTTTATTTTTTATATGTTATATATTTCATTGTTTTGTGATGATATGGCAGGGTGTATGTATCTAGTGCTCCAATATAAAGCCTTTTCATTGTGTTAAAAAGAAAAGACTGAAAAAAACATATCTTTTAAATTAAAAATAAAAATAATTCAAATCATTTACAGGCTGTGTAAAAAAAAATCAGGCATTATACACAAAATAGACTCTGGAAAATATCCTAAGCGGCATTTTCATTTATGTGAACTGTTTATTTAATGATTGTAATTTCTAACTATTTCATGCTATGTCCTGAATATTGCCTGATACCTGCTGCTGTATTCCCACCATATTTAAGCAAATTTGAAAATTAAGAAATATTATGGTGCATTAAATACAAGCATGAAAACTATTAAATAAAAAGTTAACAGAAAGAAGGAGTAGTTGGATTACTTTGCTGTTTATATCGGACTCAAGGAAATTTATTTCAGAGGTGTATACATTTTTTATACTGCAGTGTACTTTCTTTGGGCGGAAAAGTAAACACAAGACGGATGTCGAAGCCTGACATGGAATCCATTTTCGCAAAACTAATCTATGACATATTCTGGTCTTAATAAACTATCATGTGAATTTTCAAAATTATCAAAATTAAATGTTTTTATCCCCTCGGATACTAGACGAGCACTGATGCATATATTCTTGTTTACAAATTCCGCCCAGAGAGAACTGGTTTCAATATGTACGTACGCAATTAACTTTCCTTGCATTGGTACTTTGATCGCACTCACCCACCCACCCCAGTCTAAAAGTTTCATGATCCGTGCCGGTACAACATGTACTGTTGTACTGTCCAGTCAGGCTACCCACCACCCAGTGTTAACCCAGCACGTTTTATGCAACAAATGTAGCCTGGCAAGATTACAGTACACCCTTTCTTTGAATCATTTCTCAGTTATCTATTATCTAGCCGTAAACTGCAATTAGAGTTAAGTACGCTTATCACTAGCTCTAAGCCCACGAATCTCCCTTAATTTAGTAGATTCATCTTGAGGTGAACATGAGGTAAGTATGATGTTTCTCAAACTCGGATTTGATTTAATATTTGATTTGATGAACTTCCCGTATATCAACGGAATAAAACTTTAAAATTTAAAGGGACTGTAAGCGTAATTTCAAGTGACCTTCTATTGAAGAGAAGGATCCCCGATTTACAACGGTACCCTTTAAACCTTAATCTACTTAAGCACGTTTAATTGCTTAACACTTAGTTTGCAAAATTCATGCATTTTCAAGGGCTTTTAAAAAATATCTGTCACAAAAAAGAATAAATATCAATATTTACTTTCTAAAAGTGGCAGAAGATGGAAATTTCCTTTTCCTCTGAATGTTTGAAAATGCTGATAAATTAAAACAGTCGATCTATTTTTGAGTGCTCTTAAGAGTTATTCTAAATTAAATTTATAAGTTAAAAACTTCTTTAATCTTGTTAAAATTTAGATCATAAAACGAAAAATCATGAAATATAAGAGGATTTTTATTCCGTAAATGTTGCGGATTAAAAAGTAAATTGGATTAAACTATATTTAGAATAGATAAAGAAACAATTACTTTTATCTTTTATCATTATACATAGTACATCCTTACGATAGTTACAATTAAATTTCAATAGTTGGTGTTTATCTATCTCGTTCTTTATATCAATCTAAAAACGTTAACACTTGGCAATATTGTAGTAAATACCCTACTCCATAAACTGCTCTTGAACATGAATCTATCCAAGTACACCTCAGTTTCACATTGCTGCCAATGTCTAAACCCGCACATTATGTTTGTAAACTATCACTGCCAAACTAATGGGCACGATCTCAGCTCGTATGTTTCAATGAAAACTCGTCAGTTATCTATCTATGTCTACCAGACACTATAAGCTAGTAATCGATCAATGCCAAACCAATGGGCATAATCTCATGACCTATTGATGTCAACCGAACACTAGCTCGAATCAATACCAAACCAAGGGGCACAATTTCAGCTTGTATGTTGCAATAAGAACTCGTCACCTACCAATGTCAACACTGGCACTAACTAGTAATCGATCAATACCAAACCAATGGGTACAAAATTGTCAGCTATCAATGTCAACATGGACACAAGCTTGAAATCCAATGGGCACGATCTCAGCTTGTATGTTTGAACAAGAACCAAATTACTATCTCGCAGAAATCAAAGCAAAGTCTCAATATCAACCAATGTGTTTGAGGTTTATATGTCACAAGTTAAAGTTTAATAGAAGTAATTATAATTCCTACGTCGTTATCAATATCACATGATTAAGACAATCAGGTTACGAATTTACAGCACAGTTAAGATAGGCACAATTAAGATGTACATCATTATATATATAACATGATTAAGCTAATCATGTATTCCATTGAAGCTCAGTTCAAATGAATAATGGGTTTTATGTAGAAGTTTACAAAAGTAGATAGTACAACGTAGTTCAGTTTTACAGAATATTGTGTTACCCAATATTTATTTATGTATTTGAACATGGCCGGGTTGTCGCGCAGAGCTTGTAATTTTAAAAAAAGGTAAATTGAGTTTAACAATGAATTGCTCCACTTTGATTGAATCTAATCAGTTTGGTTAGCATTCCTTTTACTCATCCTGAGACCGAATTTAAAGAATTTGAGCAGCGGCTTAAATCTGGTTGGTTCCACTTAGAATTGTATTCAATTTTTCAAGATTTAAGCAGGCGCTCAATTGAAACCGGTTTTTAGGGGATTTGAGACACGGCTCAAATTCATTAAATTCGGACACTGTCTGTTTAAATATTTCTAGCTCGGAAGGATAATATGTGTTTAAAGTTTACTGTCTCAAAACTCAAGTAATTCAGAGAATTTGTCCAAAAAATGAAAAATTATACATTTTTGAAAAGCCCTTGACCATGCCATTTCAAATATGCAAAAATTGTTGCAAAATTTTAAAAAACCTGATTTTTAATCAAGAAAAACTAAAAATGTGTAAATTTTCTTTGACAGGTTGTTTGCAAAAAATTTGCAATTTTTTTTCGCAAAACTTGTGCAATCCGTTTCCTTATGTCATAGGCTTTCCAAAAAGCTAAATTTTATCAAAATCTGACAAGTGAAAGTGGGTCAAAACAAAGATTTAGTTTGTTACAGGCAAAAGCAGTCATTCAGGCAGTGTGCCTGAGGACTCAGGCAGTTAGTGTTAAAGCCCAGTTTTAGGCCTAAAGGGAGGGCTTTGGGTATGTAAAAAAAGTCAGAAAATTTCAACAGCCTCAGACCAATACTTTTGGAGTTATGTAAAAAAAACTACAGGGGGGGGGGTCAAATTGACCCCCCCCCAGCAGGAATAGGGTTAAAAAATGAAAATTTTGATGCAATATGCAGGCAGGACAATATAGACCTAAATAAGTAAGATAATTTACCCAATGTTGTCGTCATCATATAATCAATAACCTCTAATGTAATAAACTCATTCCCATTTTTAAAAGGTCAGTTATAATCAATCAATAAACCTAATATGCTTTAATATAACATATACATATACATAACATGTTTCGCAACTGGCGTTGCCCTGGGTTATACAAAAATCAAGTATCGTGCCGAGTTTCTTTGGTCCGAACCGTAAGCACCTCTACTCTCATTCCTTCTCATGATGAATCAAAACACAGGAAAAGGCTTCAAGTTTTATTATGGAACAGTACTTCAGTCTAGTAAAATAAAACTTTTAAGGGTCACAGAAAAAGCATTGACGAGCATAATATAAACCATTTCTTATCAAACAAAAGTATTATACCCATCAGGCATTAAAAAACTGTAATCAAGCCAATAATCATAAAATATTACACAAAAACACAAAGAATATTTTCAGATATTCAGATATGACTGCAGTACAGTGACAGTACAACAAAGTGGTGGGTTTACACTTTTTTAAGAGTTAAAAACACTCAGTTTACAGGAGTATATTCAGAAAACTCAAGTACAGGGTGAATTAACCCCCCCCTGAAATTTCTAGTTTTTCTACAATAAATTGTAGTTTAGTATCTTGTATATTTTTATCAATAATATATGAGTTTCAGTTTTCTGTCTTTTTGATTAATTGTATTTTAAATTGTCTATAATTATTACAAATAGGTCTTCAGCCTTCTTTCTTTTGGAATTAATCATAAATTTTTAAATAAATTACAAACTTTAGTATTTATACCTTTTTTCAAATTAATACACAAGAAAGGACCGACAGACGACCCAGGAAACTTTCACATGATATCATTCACATCTTTCACTGCTAAAACCTGCCATCTCCTTCTAGCAAAAAGGGTTTGGGCTGATATCGAATTGAATTCGGAAAAATAAAAGGGAATTTAGAATAATATATCGGAATTGAATTCGATAAAATAAGAGGGGGTATAGGAAGATATCGGAATTGAATTCGATAAAGTGAAAGGGGGTTATAGGCTGATATCAAATTGAATTCGATAAAATGAAAGGGGGTATAGGAAGATATCGGAATTGAATTCGATAAAATGAAAGGGGATATAGGCTGAAACCGAATCATGAATTCGATAAAGTGAAAGGGGGTTATAGGCTGATATCGAATAGAATTCGATAAGATTAAGGGAGTATAGAAACGTATAGAGGGTATAGGAAGATATCGAATTGAATTCGATAAAATGAAAGGGGGTTTAGGAAGATATCGAATTTAATATTACTTTTATCTGATAATTCACTGATTGCATTATTCCACTCAGATAGAAAATAATTAAATTTAATTAAAGAGTAATCACCCAGATATTACAACCTACAGGGTGTCCCACGAAACATGACAGTTAGTAAATAGTTATGAAAGTCGTCTATCATATACTTTATTAGATATTAAAGGCTTTTTGCAGTTTATTTTGTTTAAAAAAAATCTTTTTTTGAAACTTATTTTACTTTGAAACCAATTTTACTACAACATGACTCCCATATAATATTTGTATTATTGTCTAATTGTTATCAAACAACTTAAAAAATTATGGATGAAGACATTCTAAACTATATCACCTAACTGTCATGTTTCGTGGGACACCCTGTATAAACGTCGAATTCAATTCGATGCATTTGTATGTAGTTGATATTTCATAATATTCCTTATTTTTGGGGGATGTTTCTGGTCTCGAGAAATCAATATAAATTTGTGTCAAATATATACGAAAATTCATATATATGCAACAGAATTGCCACCAATGGAAGTGCAGTAAACTGGTCTAGTGTCTTTGTCTATATATATTACGTGACCAGTATACTGCACTACTATTGGTAGGAATTCTGATGACGTCATACGGACTTAATAATATTATCAATCAAACCTATTAAAAATAAAAATAAAATTTTAAAAAGTATAAGTAGTAGTTGGAGAAAACCTAAGAAACAATTAGGTTTCTCTGGGATATCTTCGTTTTCAGATTTTTTTGCGTTTTGCTGAATATGATCTCCTATAAACCTACCAAACCTATACAAATTTGTATATATATGAATTTTTATATAAATTAGATGCAGTTTTTAATAAATTTCTCGAGACAGGAACATCAGATATAACGTACTTTAATGGGTCGCGATCAAGACCTAAAGTGATTAGCTTTCAGCCTATACCCCCTTTAATTTTTTTTCTTTACAGTCCCTTTAATCTTTCCGACAAAGAACATTGTGACATTTTCCGACTGATATTAGGTTGCAGTGTTAATAATGAAATATATTGTATATATAATATATATAAATATGTTAGATTTAATTAACATGATGGGACATATATTCACGGAATAAAAGATAAAGAGAATTTATGAACCAAAAAAATAGAAAAAGATATAATTTACTTCGTTTCTTTGGGGAATTAAACTAAATGCTTAAACACAGGATTAAGTAAAAAGAAAGAAAAATGCAAAATCTGCATTTAATAAGACATTAAATCAATAAACTGTCTGGAGGTTAACTACAATGTTGAAACAATTACAAATACATTAATAGAATTCAACTGTGGTAGAAATGAAGACAGAAAATGATAAATCGACTGATAATTGTTAAAATTACGGAATTTTTTGCCAAATATTTATCTATTGAAATTTATCTATTGTTTTGACATTGACAAGGCAAATAAATCTAAAGAAAGCAATAAACGTACAGGGGGAGTATAAAAAAGGGATAGCCATGTTTTACACAAAATTTTCAAAATTTGTTTATGCGTCAGATTTTAGGTAAAAAAAAACATAGAAAAGTGACATAAAAAATGCCATTTTTAACATTAAAAAAAATGTGTTTAGTCTATTATTTTCATCAAAAAAAATAATCAATAATTGAATGCATGAGAAAATCGAAAAAATTATTTCCAAATTTTGTGTGTATTCTACGGTTAAAATTATTTCCAAATCTGTGTGTATTCTACGGTTAAAATTATTTCCAAATTTTGTGTGTATTCTACGGTTAAAATTATTTCCATTTTGTGTGTATTCTACGGTTAAAATTATTTCCAAATTTTGTGTGTATTCTACGGTTAAAATATTTCCAAATTTTGTGTGTATTCTACGGTTAAAATATTTCCGAATTTTGTGTGTATTCTACGGTTAAAATTATTTCCGAATTTTGTGTGTATTCTACGGTTAAAATTATTTCCGAATTTTGTGTGTATTCTACGGTTAAAATTATTTCCGAATTTTGTGTGTATTCTACGGTTAAAATTATTTCCAAATTTTGTGTGTATTCTACGGTTAAAATTATTTCCAAATTTTGTGTGTATTCTACGGTTAAAATTATTTCCGAATTTTGTGTGTATTCTACGGTTAAAATTATTTCCGAATTTTGTGTGTATTCTACGGTTTAAACGCCTTCTAATCTGTTGAAAATTCAGTAGCAAATACCTAATGCTTGCAGATTTCCACATTAAATTGTTTGTCTTTGTGAATGTTCATGAAATTTAAAAAAACAATCGAATAAACATATTCAGATCAAATTTTTTTAAATAAGATTTTTTTCGTTTCGTTTTCGTTAGTTTCGTGAATATTTTTTTTCAATAATTTTTGTTGTCAAATTTCAATACCTAAAATCCGAAGCAAACAAAATTTAGATTTTTTTGTGCAAAACATCGATATTATCCCGGTTTTTTTACTTACCCTGTTTATAGAAAGCTTTTTTAATACTCTATCGGGGAGGGGGAGGGGGGGGGGGGGAACAATATAAAAAATTGTGTTTTCAGGGGAATAAATTTTAATGTTAAACAAGATGAATCGTTTTTCACAAGTCTTAGGTTGATAAAGAGTATTTTACCCGGATAAAAAACCTCCAATCTCCCAAATTATTTGGTGAAGATTGTCAATGCAACGATCGTAACGATCCTCTAAAAATGACAAGAAAAATGTTAACTTAAACTGAATATTTTCATTGCAATACTGCAACGTTAAAGGAAGTGTTCGCGAAAAATTAAAGGGGGGTATAGGCTGATATCGAATATAACCCAAGAACGTTAGTCCATACAAATTGCATTTTTTTTCCTCAGATGATAAATAATTCAATTAAATTTAAAACTAATCATTCGGATATTATAACCTACAATTGTCGAATTCAAATCGATGTATTCGTATATATATTTGATATTTAATAATGTTTTCCTTTTATTTTTATGATCCGAGAGTTACTTTTGAAAGCATTCATTCATGTTTCGATGATTTTTAATAAAGAAGACGTCATTTTCATATTTTCCATAAAAGTTCGGAAATCCAGTGCCAGCCGTAAAAAAAAACAATTTGTAATCGAAATATAAATAAAAAAAATTTAAAAAATATTTTGAAATATCAACTATATGTGTTCATCGAATTGTAAGTATGAATGAGTAGTTTTAAAGGAATTGAGTCTTTGTAACAAACTCTGGTTTAAAAATCCCCACATCTTTACAATCAAATGTCGTAAACCTTAGATATTTCTAACTAAACATTCTTTTAGATTTAATAATCTACGCTTTAAATATCAAGGGTTCACACCATCATGTTTCAAAGATATAGGGATTGGAAAATGTGAGTGCGTGGCAAAAACTCCTGTGCTCTTCGGTATGAGTCGTCTTTAACAATTTTCTCCTTTATAGAGGTAAAATTAGTAAAATCGATATCGAATTCTAGTTGACGTCAATATATACCACCTTTATTTTTTTGCGAACGCTCGCTTTAATATTATCAAGTCCCAAATGTATTCGTCATCACGTCAAACTAAAGTAAAATAAACTTGAGATTAAAATCTGATAGGTTTTTAACATAACTCATCTTATTGAAGAAATTTGAAAAGAACAAAAAGGTTTTCAATTCAATTTAATTTAATTCAATTCATCCAAATAAATTTACTTTTCGTACTTGTGCAGAGAGGAGCAATAAAGTCGCATACTTCTACAGAGATGTCGCATACTTGTGCAGAGAGGAGCTACCAGTAATGTTGTATACTTGTGCAGAGAGGAGCTACCAGTAATGTCGCATACTTGTGCAGAGAGGAGCTACCAGTAATGTTGTATACTTGTGCAGAGAGGAGCTACCAGTAATGTTGTATACTTGTGCAGAGAGGAGCTACCAGTAATGTCGCATACTTGTGCAGAGAGGAGCTACCAGTAATGTTGTATACTTGTGCAGAGAGGAGCTACAAGTAATGTCGCATACTTTTGCTGAGAGGAGCTACAAGTAATGTTGTATACTTGTGCAGAGAGGAGCTACCAGTAATGTTGCATACTTGTGCAGAGAGGAGCTACACGTAATGTTGAATACTTGTGCTGAGAGGAGCTACCAGTAATGTCGCATACTTGTGCAGAGCGGAGCTACCAGTAATGTCGCATACTTGTGCAGAGAGGAGCTACAAGTAATGTCGCATACTTGTGCTGAGAGGAGCTACCAGTAATGTTGTATATTTGTGCAGAGAGGAGCTACCAGTAATGTCGCATACTTGTGCAGAGAGGAGCTACCAGTAATGTCGCATACTTGTGCAGAGAGGAGCTACCAGTAATGTCGAGAGGAGCTACCAGTAATGTCGCAAAAATGTTACCTTCTATTTCTGTCTAGTTTGCAGTGTCATCAGTGTCATATATCTTTATGATGGACAATAAACAGTTTTTGTTGAATTACGGCTTTAAAAGCCGCCCCCTCTTCACCCCGCCCCAACTCCATCTACTTTCAACCATCATTCAGCTTGAAACCATAAACCATAAACCGGAAATTGAATTAATCCTGAGAAATAATAATTTCAGTCATTTTTCCTGTTATCTTTTCACCCAAAGAGCTGTAGGGGAACGAATCTTCATATTTTTCCCTCATCAGTCTCATCAGATTAATCAATTATGCTTAAGGTTCTCAACATAGACCGAGACTTCAGAGACGACCTTAAATATTGAAAAAGTTATATTTTTCCCAGCAATAATGCATGTTTTTCGGAACTCTCTAAATATAACAATTGAAGCCAAAAGCCAAATGTATACCTTGAATCGTCATTTGTGGTGAACCTCGTCATTTGTGGTGAACCTCGTCATTTGTGGTTAACCTCGTCATTTGTAGTTAACCCCGTCATTTGTTGTTAACCTCGTCAATTGTGTTTAACCTCTTCATTTGTATTTAACCTCGTCATTTGTGGTTAACTTCGTCATTTGTGGTTAACCTCGTCATTTGTAGTTAACCTCGTCATTTGTCGCTAACCTCGTCATTTGTGGTTAACCTCGTCATTTGTGGCTAACTCGTCATTTGTGTTTAACCTCGTCATTTGTAGTTAACCTCGTCATTTTTGGTTAACCACGTCATTTGTGGTTAACCTCATCATTTGTAGTAAACCTCGTCATTTGTGTTTAACCTCGTCATTTGTGGTTATCCTCGTCATTTGTGGTTAACCTCATCATTTGTGGTTAACCTCGTCAATTGTGTTTAACCTCTTCATTTGTAGTTAACCTCGTCATTTGTGGTTAACCTCGTCATTTGTAGTTAACCTCGTCATTTGTCGCTAACCTCGTCATTTGTGGTTAACCTCGTCATTTGTGGCTAACTCGTCATTTGTGTTTAACCTCGTCATTTGTAGTTAACCTCGTCATTTGTGGTTAACCTCGTCATTTGTGGCGAACCTCGTCATTTGTAGTTAACCTCGTCATTTGTGGTTAACCTCGTCATTTGTAGTTAACCCCGTCATTTGTTGTTAACCTCGTCAATTGTGGTTAACATCTTCATTTGTAGTTAACCTCGTCATTTTTGGTTAACCTCGTCATTTGTGGTTTACTTCGTCATTTGTGGTTAACCTCGTCATTTGTGGTTAACCTCGTCATTTGTGTTTAACCTCGTCATTTGGAGTTAACCTCGTCATTTGTGGTTAACCTCGTCATTTGTGGCGAACCTCGCCATTTGTAGTTAACCTCGTCATTTGTAGTTAACCTCGTCATTTGTCGCTAACCTCGTCATTTGTGGTTAACCTCGTCATTTGTGGTTAACCACGTCATTTGTCGCTAACCTCGTCATTTGTAGTTAACCTCGTCATTTGTGGTTAACCTCGTCATTTGTAGTTAACCTCGTCATTTGTAGTTAACCTCGTCATTTGTAGTTAACCTCGTCATTTGTGGCTAACCTCGTCATTTGTAGTTAACCTCGTCATTTGTAGTTAACCTCGTCATTTGTAGTTAACCTCGTCATTTGTGGTTAATTTGTCTTTTTTTGTAAAGAAAATAATCTGTTAAAAGGAGAATGAGCTCATTAACACTTCTTTTATGAAAAATATATTCTATGACACGAAAACAAAATATTTTTATTGGCTTTATTGACGACCAAAAGCAATAAAACACGTTTTTTTAGAGAAAAAAGAAAACATATACTATGTATACAGTACTATGTGTTGAATACTTCTTTTCTTATATGATATATAAAATAGATGTATTCTCTGCTTGTGCTGGAAACCACTTGCCTACTCACTTTGTTTACTCTAACTGCATAAAATTGAGATTTGGCGAGGAATACTAAACTAGAAATGACCACAGAGTACACTCTTTTCAACAGAGCAGAAACTTAGCCTCATCACTTTAACTCAATATTAATATATTTCAACCCGCCTTATACTGTTGCATAAAACGTGTTGGGTCAACCACATACGGGGTACATCAAACGGGCCGGTATGGTTAGGACTAGACCGGCATCCTTGTACAGGTTCAAACGGGCCGGTATGGTTAGGACTAGACCGGCATCCTTGTACAGGTTCAGATCATACAACTTTTAAACTTTACTATATAGTTTATTAATGGAAGTAGAAAAACACATATATTTAGTTTAAAAGAACTGTTCCCAATCTTCCTCACTTCTATTTTGTTCATCATCTACCTGGACAAAATAAACCTTCTTCGATTCTTATGTAAAGATAAGTAATTTTAGGGCAACATACAGTAATACCCAAAAAACGGTGGAACAATGAAGACAAAATTTAACCAATCGTTTGTATATTTGATGTTGTAATAAAGCAATTGTAGATTGTAAATCAACTTATTATGTAAAATGGATCTGTGTACACTCTACAATTGCTGTTTTTCATTTGCAGTACTTGAGTTCTAAAGAGGTTTTCCTATTCGACAGTTTTATGGGTCTCCCTGTTCAAATACAGCTTTTATGTAAAATGAATTATCAAGAGTGATTATGGTTACAGAAATGGAATGTTATAAATAACAAATATCAAAAAGAAAGGGCTTTTCAAAACTGTAAATTTTAGCTACAAGTTCAATTGTTTTAAAAGTAATGTTTTATTTTTTCTTTTTCTTTTTAAAGGGTTAGAATTTTCCTCCTAATAAAATGACAACTTGCTATGAAATATTTCTCTTTGTATATCAAAAGAAAATTCAGACAACATTTTGTTTAGCAGAAAGTTTATATTTGGTGAAAATGTATTGGTAAATACATGTTTAACTTTGCTCCCCCCTGATTTAAACTATATAAAGTTTGGAGCAAATATCCTGATCTAAATTCAGTATACGAAACCAAATCCAGGTTTAAACATTCAACTATTTAAACTACATTCACTCAACTTAACAGTCGATCAATTGTCACGGAATAGAGATCTAAACTTTTAAAAATCTTTTATGAAAAATAGATAAATATCATCTATAAAATTATAAAAAACTATTTTTGAAGGTTTTCCTTTGGTGTCATAAGTAGAGGATTATCTAGGAGATCCTCAGTATACGTCCTGCCTAGAAATATTAGGATTAAGATCTTCATTATACGTCCTGCCTAGAAATATTAGGATTAAGATCTTCAGTATACGTCCTGCCTAGAAATATTAGGATTAAGATCTTCCGTATACGTCCTGCATAGAAATATTAGGATTAAGATCTTAGTATACGTCCTGCATAGAAATATTAGTATCAAGATCTTCAGTATACGTCCTGCCTGGAAATATTAGGATTAAAATCTTCTGCATACGTCCTGCCTAAAAATATTGGAATTTATATCTTCAGTATACGCCCTGCATATAAATATTAGTATTAAGGTCTTCAGTATATATCCTGCCTGGAAATATTAGGATTAAAATCTTCAGTATACTTCCTGCCTAGAAATATTAGGATTAAGCACTTCGGTCTAGAAATATTAGGATTAGAATCATTTAGTATATACACGCACTGCCTAGAAATATTAGTATCAAGATCTTCAGTATACTTCCTGCCTAGAAATATTAGGATTAAGCACTTCGGTCTAGAAATATTAGGATTAGAAACAATTAATCTTCGGTTTATGCCTGCAGCCTAAAAATAAGGCTGCGTCTTTATAAGGTTTTGAAAAGTAAAATATATTTTCTAAAGGGAGGAGGGGGGGGGGGCGAACTGTCCACATACCCCTTATCAAGATTGCACACATATACAACCTGATTTAGAATTTATTTTAACATCTATCTTTCAATCATATCAATATTGTTCTTTGTATAGACTCTAGACCAACCAAGGATTAATGAAAAATACCTGTATTTGATCGTACAAAGCTGTTTTCAACTATAACAGACTTCTTTCCAGGATCGCTTGGAGATCCTGTACTTTGTCTTGTATCCTGAGAAACAGAGAACTCGGTTTCTTCTTACCAACAAATCATTTAATCAATCAACATTAGAGTTCTAAAGTTAATTATTTTGGTGGCCATTAAATAACTATGTTAATGGTTAATGTTTTAAGTATCTAACCCATACTTTACTTTGATTAAATGATGGGCCTTTTGAATTTAACCTTTAAATCTTTATTATGGCTATGGGTTGAAAAAAATTCCCCAAAACAAGATAACCTTGATTTGTGTTTTGTAAGATTAACATATTTTTCATACTTTATTATTTCACTAGGATTTGACCCTCAATGCAAAGTTAGCAATGCCCGATTCACTTGTTCTGATCAGTAGTGTGGAAAATATTGTCGTTTTTCTTGTTTTCAAAGTATTTAAAATTCTGATAATCCTTGTAAAATGCAGAAGTCACTTTTGCAGAGAAATCTCAATTTACAATAATCAGTTGTTAAAATTATTAAGATTGTAGTCTAATTAATATTTGAGGACAGGCCCGTAACCAGGGGGGGGGGGGGGGGAAGGGTGCAGGTGCACCCCCCTTTCTTCTGAAAGGGGGGTGCAATGACGAATTTGCACCCCCCCCCCAGTCCCATATAAAAGAAATTATTTCTCATAATTTTCTAAAATCTAGTTACCAATAATATAGCTCAAGCAAGAGTTGATTATAAAACCAAATTATAATCTTATTGTGTGTTGCTCATTAAAAGTGGGTGTGCGTGTTTGTGTGTGTAGGTGTACTCTGTCAAGTCAACTCATCCTGGACATCCTGAGTCCTGTCTCATGTGCTCCACAGCTGTCGCAGGCTAACTAACAGCTGATCAGTACACTATGTTAATTAAATATAACACAACATCAAAATTTACTCATAGTCATTAAATAGTTGTTTATGCATATAATTAATAAAACATACTGTTTTAATTAGGCTTAGAGTCCATGGAAATAAATTGATAATCTCCTGTAAGCTTTCAGACATTTTGGCCCCCCCTTGGACCCGGTTGAAAAGCTTTTTTAAAAATAAATAATAAATGTGAATATATCATTATCATATTGCAAAGTCTTATTTTTTATGTATATTGTATATGTAAACTGAAAAGTTTCAGACACTAAAATGTAACCCTTAAAAGCTTAAATACACTTGTTAAAAAGGTTAGTCTTTATAGCGTAAATTGACAATGTAATAATGTAAAAACAAACCAAGCATTGCTTAAAAAAAAAAAAATAATAATAATTTCCCTGCGGCTCGCTTCTTTGCACCCCCCCCCTGGAAAAATCCTGGTTACAGGCCTGCTTGAGCAGACTAAGCTTTTAAGGCTACCTTCTTAAATCGGACATTGCCATCTTTATATTGAGGGTCCCTTGAAACTACGCTTTCAGTCCCTTTAACAACTTTAAATATTATTCTGTTTACAAACTACGCTTACAGTCCCTTTAACAACTTTAAATATTATTCTGTTTACAAATAAATACAATGACTGAAACAGAGAGGATCTGAAGACGGTTTAAATTCTGGATAAATTCTCAACTATTAGGAAAGTTGTGTGGCCAGGAAACTGGAAAGTTTACCAAATTTTACAGGAGAATTCCCAAGGGAATTCGGCAAACAGGTCAGTCAGGGGGCAGGAAGGGGACAATAAGGGGACAAGAAGGAGACAGGAAGGAAACAAGAAGGAGGCTGGAAGGGATCAGGAAGGGGACAAGAAAAAGGCTGGAAGGGGACAAGAAGGGGACAAGAAGTAGGCTGGAAGGGGACAAGAAGGGGACAAGAAGGAGGCTGGAAGGGGACTGGAAGGGGACGGGAAGGGGGCCAGAAAAAGGCAGAAAGGGGACAATATGGAGACCTAAGGAGGCAGGAAGGGGACAGGAAGGGGACCAAAAAGAGGCAGGAAGGGGACAATAAGGAGACCTGAAAGAGTCAGGAAAGGTACACTAAGGAGACAGGAAGGGGACCAGAAAGAGGCAGTGAAGGGGACAAGAAGGATACCTATAAGAGGCAGGAAAGGGACACTCAGGAGGCAGGAAGGGGACAGGAAGGGGACCAGAAAGAGGCAGGAAGGGGACAATAAGGAGACCTAAAAGAGGCAGGAAAGGGACCAGAAAGAGGCAGGAAGGAGACAAAAAGGAGACCTAAAAGAGGCAGGAAAAGAACACTAAGGAGGCAGGAAGGGGACAGGAAGGGTACCAGACAGAGGCAGGAAGGGGACAAGAAGGAGACCTAAAAGAGGCAGGAAAGGGACACTAAGGAGGCAGGAAGGGGACCAGAAAGAGGCAGGAAGGGGACAAGAAGGAGACCTTAAAGAGGCAGGAAAGGGACATTGAGGAGGCATATAGGGAACCGGAAAGAGGCAGGGAGGGGACAAGAAGGAGACCTAAAAGAGACAGGAAATGGACACTAAGGAGGCAGGAAGGGGGTAGAATGGAAGAAGGAGGAGATAGTGGAGAAGAAGAGGAAAGATAGGTGATAGCCAGAAAGGGGACAGGGGAGGGAAAACATTATGAGAAAAGGCAGCAAGTGGGAAGGAAGGGAGAAAGAAGGGGAAAACGACAAGAAGGGAACAGGAAGGTTGAAAGGGAGAAGGCAGGAAGATGGTAGAAATTAATTAAGGAGGGTTTTACAGGAATCAATGTTGTCACGTAACCCTTATGTTTATTAACACCCAGTATCTGAAATGTCAATGACATAACTCGATAGTAGGATTTAGAACTAATCATTTGTTTCTTAACTTTAATCTGAAGTATTGAAGTGTTGCCTTTGATTGAAGCCCTCTCAGGAACCTAGAATTAAATTAATTAATTAATTAATTAATTAAAGAATAAGAGGAGGGAGGATTCTCTTCAAATCTTCTAAATTAATTCTTTTTCTAAAAGTAAATGTTTCGTCAAGAGTTTACAAATACCTACAAGAAAGGCACATTTATCTTAATCACACTCTACAATAGACAGAGGGAGAAGTTAAAACTGGTGTGACTTTATAACCCCGTAGCTCTTTTAGTTTTGATTTTACGTACAAGTAAGAGAACAGCAAATTTATCCGGTAACAAAAAACCAACAAGGTTTGTTTTGAGGTTTGTGCTGTATGAATAGGTCATAATCTCTTCATATCCTTCATTTGTAAACTGTCCAAAGTGGACACCCAGGCTAATATACACGGACAGGTAGCTAAGAGCCAGCCCCATGAAACCAATTTTAAACATTTTAATTCTTCTCAAGAACTCTTGAATACGTGAATTTATGGTTGAGAACATAAAAGAAAAGTATTGGATTTATTTCTGATTTTTATGTACAATGTTTAGGTCGTCTTCCAAGTTTCATCCATTATAGGTAACCCTGTCCTTTTTAATTTGAACTGAATCCCTGCATGATTGTTTACCTTTCTCCCTGCTTCCCCCTCTTCATCTACTAGGCTGAGGCTAGAGTCCTCGCTATCAAACTCTTCCATTCGCCCGAGGTCGTCGTTCTGAGCGTATCCTGGCCTCACTTCTTTAGAAGAGGACAAAGTGTTAGATGAAGAGGTCATATTGTGGGTGGGGAATGTTAGGTTTACTCCAGGGTAGTTTAAGCTCTGTGTTTGCTGGTTTGGAGAGGAAGGATGCATTTCCTGCAATAGAATATATTTAAGAATATATTTGACTGGCTGTTTTGCATGCATGGTTTCATGTTTACAAAAGTTGGAAATATATAGAAAGAAAAGTTCTGATATAAAAGAAAAGATCTTGCAAATTAATTCTAACACGATATTCGTCCAGACGTAAGAAAAAACCCTTTAGGGTTGAAGAAATTTTATCTTTTTCTTAGAAAATGAATTTTCTTGTTAAAAAAACGGGTATAAGATGATAAAGGACAGGTTGTATGAGAAGGTATAATATGCATAAGATAATATACGATGGAATAAAATGATGTAACATGACATAAGATGGTATAAGATAGTATAATAGTATAAGATGTTAAAAGATGCAAATAGGATTATTAAAAGATTTTATACTGAGATTGTAGAAAAAGGTATAAGAATATGTTATAAGAAGTTATTAGATTATATAAGATAGTAAAATAAGACTGTATAAGAGGGTATAAGATGGTAATTAAGTAATCAGATGGTATGATGGTATAAGATGGTATTCGATGATAGACGGTAAAAAATGATATATGATGGTATATGGTATAAGATGGTTTAAGATAAAATAAGAAGGTATAGAATCATATAAAATGATATTATGAGAAGGTACAAGATGGTAAAAGATAGAATAAGATGGTTTAAAATTATATAAAATGATATTATAAGAAGGTACAAGATGGTAAAAGATAGAATAAGATGGTATAAAATTATATAAAATGATATTCTTAGAAGGTACAAGATGGTAAAAGATAGAATAAGATGGTATAAAATTATATAAAATGATATTAGAAGAAGGTAAAAGATGGTAAAAGATAGAATAAGATGGTATAAAATTATATAAAATGATATTCTAAGAAGGTAAAAGGTAGTAAAAGATAGAATAAGATGGAATGAGATTATATAAAATGATATTCTATGAGGGTACAAGATGGTAAAAGATGTTATTATAAGATTGTAAGTCGGTAAGATGGCATAATTTGGTATTATAAGATGTTATAAGAGGATATAAAATAGAATAGTAAGTTTTTCACTTCAGCTTAACTTGAACTAAATCTAAATTATACGTTTTTGAAAATTCCAAAACTCGCCTGTTTGGGTTTGCTCTCCAAGGTTGAAAAGTATCTTGTATCAAAATCCAAGGCTGTATTTTCAGGTTGAAATACCGGCTCTAACAATTAAGATTGTACAGATTACTGTTTATCCCGGTTTATAAACGCTCAATTTTTCATATTTAAAGAGTTTCAGGTTCTGATGTACTTTATAAACATTAGTTAACCCTGGTGTACTTTTTGGTTAACTCTGATGTACTTTATAATAATTAGTTAACCCTCGTGTACTTTTTGGTTAACTCTGATGTACTTTTTAAACATTAGTTAACCCTGGTGTACTTTTTGGTTAACTCTGATGTACTTTATAAACATTAGTTAACCCTGGTGTACTTTGTGGTTAACCCTGATATACTTTATAAACATTAGTCAACCCTGGTGTACTTTGTGGTTAACCCTGATGTACTTTGTGGTTAACCCTGGTGTACTTTGTGGTTAACCCTGATGTACTTTGTGGTTAACCCTGGTGTACTTTGTGGTTAACCCTGATATACTTTATTAACTTTGGTTAACCCTGGCGTACTTTGTGGCTAACCCTGGTGTACTTTGTGGTTAACCCTGATATACTTTGTAAAAATTTAACATGATGTAATAAACTGTGTTGCAAATAAATTCTGACAGCATATTTTTTTAGTGATTTTGTTTAAGTTGAAAGGAATGAAATTTTTGCAAAAAATGCTGATTTTCTAATCCCTATATAATTGCAACCCAATGTCGTACAGACCTTAGATATTTTCAACTATGAATTCTGTTAAATCAAATAATCTAAGTTTGAAATATCAAATGTGTACACCATCAGGTTGCGAAGATATATGAATTAGAAAAATTGATTTTGTGGCAAAGGCTCAATTTCTTTGTCGTTCCCTTGTATTCTAACTAATATATATATGTATTCTTGTACATGGTGTCCCAATAAACATGGGAATTCAGTGACGAATTCGATATCGTCTTTTTAACTAATTCTTTGATTTAGTATAGTGATACCTACTGAGAAAGCTGTAATCTGTAAGAGTTTCGTCTGCTATGTTCACATTTTGTTTGTTTATGTTTTGACTGCATACGGTTGTACTTAGTAAAGCAAGAAAATTACAGTATACAAACAGAGTAAACTTGTCCGTCTTCACTGCTCATCTTGCGGAGACATTATAGACACATCTTTGCAGTCTTTTTTCCTGCTTTTAGAAGAAACTCGAGCAGACATAATAATATTCTGGCTTTTGAAATTAGGTATTGCAATGCTAATTCATAACAAAGACGATATCCAATTTGTCACTGAATTCACATGTTTTTGGGACACCCTGTATTCTAACTTATATTTATATATCTATATGTGTAATTTATAAAATTGTTCAATCTAATAAAAATACTAAATCTGTAAAATTAAAAGAAAATTTTTCTGGAACTTTAAGACAGTTTACAATCTGATTCCCTGGTTTCATTTTAAACGAATTTCTTCCGTTCAGTCCCAGGTCTGCTCTACCCTCTACACACAGGAATTTTAATATTTATTTTTTCTCTTCTTCAATTTATAATGTTTCTTTTTGAATGAGAGAAAATGGTTCAATAGATATTACCATCTACAATCTAATGCACTCTCTCATGCAAAAATTGAGCAGCATTTTGCCAATTACTTCTTTTAAACTTAAACTAGAAACATTATCTTATATACCTAGGGCTACACAAAAAAAAGTATAAGTAACTTGGTAAAACCAACCCAAGCGACGCTTAAAATTCAAAGCTGTTTAAAAATTTTAAGAATAACTTTCACTGTTGTCTAGATAGCAGTGAATCTAGTTTTTTAGGCCGACTCCCTTAGGTTAAATGAAGAATTATAATAATAAAAACAGATAAATCGTGCATAATAAATTGATTGGTACTAGTTAAATATTTTCCGATATTTCTCTCAATAATAATGAAAACAGATAAATCGTGTATAATAAATTGATTGGTACTAGTTAAATATTTCTCCGATATTTCTCTCAATAAGATAAATCGTGTATAATAAATTGATTGGTACTAGTTAAATATTTCTCCGATATTTCTCTCAATAAAAATGAAAACGGATAAATCGTGTATGATAAATTGATTGGTACTAGTTAAATATTTCTCCGATATTTCTCTCAATAAAAATGAAAACGGAGAAATCGTTTATAATAAATTGATTGTACTAATTAAATAATTCTCCAATATTTCTCTCTTCAAAATGTCGTAGGAAAAGCGTTTTCAATTTTGAAAATGTTTTTCCATGCTTAAATTTTCCATCAGGAAATTGAAGTGTTTTTAAAACTTTAAACTTTTATGTTTTGCTGATTTTACTCGTCTAGCGTCTAGCTGGAGAAACTTGTAATTTTGAATATTATAAAGGTAGAATAACTGAAAAAAATCAAATTAATTATTTGTTTCACCTTTGACCTTGTAATAAGATAAAATAAAATAGAATTGTACGAAAATATCATTATCTTGCTACCATAAAAGGATATATAGCAGCTCATATAGATTCTTTATTTGTAAAATTAGAAAAAACACGTTGATAACATTATCTCTATATTTCACCCCCTCCCCCCCCCAAAAAAAAATATATATATAGTGGCCAAAATCTCTCGGATAACGTTCGAAGAGTTTTATTTTAAATTAAAGAATTTTTCATGCATGGAAAAGCATACATTTTTGATAAATATTAAAAATTCATATAATTTTCCTTCTTCTTTTCATCTTTTCAACTCTATTCATATCATTTTGTCTGTCATTCTCCCCCATGTAAATCAAATTCAAACTTTTAACCATAAAGTTGGTGTCTTATTAAAACTTTAGAAAACTTTAAATTCCTTTCAAGCTAGTTTATCAGTCTAAAATTTAATGATCTTTGAAGAAAATTTAATAAATTAATCAGGAATTATGAAAACTTTTCAACTTTTAATACGCTTTATATCTGCCTCTGAATTTTCTATGGATTACAGGGTGAAGTGAATTTTTAAAAAAAAGGGATTAAGAGTCAACTTTAAAGGGAATGAAGACGAAATAAAAAATTGGAAAATCCTATTCATACCATTGACATTAAAATTGAGTTTCAAGGTCGTGTAATTTTGTCGAGATGACAATATTTAAATAATAAATCAGCTTGAAATATAAGGACAAGGTGAAAGGATTCAGTGAATCGGACATTCTACATTTGAAGGGTCGCTTTAAAGTACGTAAACAGTCCCTTTAATAATGGAGATTTTTAGATTTCTAGATTTCCAGAGATTTCTAGCAAATATAGAACATTCTGTAAGGACATCAGAACGGAATGGAAATAATAGGGATTTTTTTATTTGTCTTAAATACCCTCTAAAAAATAGCGATCGCTTTTTATACGATGGATCTGATTCTAAGAATTCAATTAAATTATTTTGTACATTTCTTAGAATTTTTGGTTTTAAACCTTAATTATAATTTTAATGCAGATTTTCAGCTTAAGCTTAGTAGTTTCTATATTTCTATTTTAATCGAATTATATTAAACTGTAATTTTTAATTGGAGGTAAATATCATCACAGCTGGGAACTTTATTTTTTGTTTTCCTTTGATTTATCATTTGATCTTGAAATACAAATTGAGATCTTCTGAACTTTATACAGAATCTGCCTAATCTCCAAAATCTAAATCCAAAATTTATCCGTTATTTCATTGCCTGGCTTCTGATCAAACACAAATTAAATTAATCTGCAGATTAACAAAAGATCAAGTTTAAGCATTGATCTTGATATCCACAAAAATAAGAGTTGCCACCTTATATCACATTAATCTAGCAACTTGAGTGTGAATTTAGGTGAATTTTTAGCAATAATATAAATATTTTTCCTTGAGAAAGTTGATCTAAATCTTGAACCGGGGTTAGGTTGAAGTCTCTGTCGGGTTGAAAGGTAGACCCTGCTCCAGGTCTGTGAACTAGTAGGCAAGACGGAGAGGGATGAATTGAAGCCTTCAAATCATATTCACGTCTTACAAAGGATACTTCACTTTAAACACAAGTTTGAACAATAAACATACATCTGATATTAAGGTGTTATATTATAATATTTTGTCTATATAGCATAATATTTGTTTGTTAACTTGTATTGCAATGTAATGTAAAAGTACAAGGGATCATTAATTCATCTCGAAAAACTAAAATTTATGTTATAAGAGCCCAGATTGGTATTGAAGAACTATAATGCATTTGAAAAGACTATTATTGATATTGAATAGTTATATGAAAGGTCTAGGACTGATATTGAAGAACGATAATAAATGTTGAAGGTCTAGGACTGATATAGTAGAACTATGATATATGTTAAAGTTCTAGGACTGATATAGTAGAACTATGATATATGTTAAAGGTCTAGGACTGATTTTGAAGAACTATAATACATGTTGAAGGTCAAGGACTGATATTGAAGATCTATAATATATATTAAAGGTCTAGAACTGATATTAAAGAACTATAATATATATTAAAGTTCTAGGACTGATATTGAAGAACTATAATATATGTTAAATGTCTAGGAGTAATATAAAAGAACTATAATATATGTTGAAGATGACTGATATTGAAGATCTATAATATATGTTAAAGGTCTAGGACTGATATTGAAGATCTATGAAATATGTTAAAGGTCTAGGACTGATATTGAAGATTAATAGTATATGTTGAAGGTCTAGAAATGATATTGAAGATCTATAATATATGTTGAAGGTCCAGGACTGATATTAAAGATCTATAATATATGTTAAAGGTCTAGGAATGATTTTGAATATCTATAATATATGTTGAAGGTTTAGGACTGATATTGAAGATCTATAATATATGTGTAATGTCTAGGACTGATAATGAAGATCTATAATATATGTTGAAGGTCTATGACTGATATTGAAGATCTATAATATGTTGAAGGTCTAGGACTGATATTGAAGAACTATAGTATATGTTGAAGGTCTAGGACTGATATTGAAGATCTATAATATATGTTGAAGGTCTAGGACTGATATTGAATATCTATAATATATGTTGAAGGTTTAGAACTGATATTGAAGAACTATAATATTTGTTGAAGGTCTAGGACTGATATAGAATAACTATAATATATGTTGAAGGTTTAGGACTGATATTGAAGATCTATATTATATTTTAAAGTTCTAGGACTGATATTGAAGAACTATAATATATGTTAAAGGTTTAGGACTTATATTGAAGATCTATATTATATTTCAAAGTTCTAGGACTGATATTGAAGATCTATAATATATTTTGAAGGTTTAGGACTGATATTGAAGATCTATAATATATGTTGAAGGTCTAGGACTGATATAGAATAACTATGGTATATGTTGAAGGTCTAAGACTAATATTGAAGATCTATAATATATGTTGAAGGTCTAAGACTGATATTGAATATCTATGGTTTAGGACTGATATTGAAGATCTATATTATATTTCAAAGTTCTAGGACTGATATTGAAGATCTATAATATATGTTGAAGGTTTAGGACTGATATTGAAGATCTATATTATATTTTAAAGGTCTAGGACTGATATTGAAGAACTATAATATATGTTAAAGATCTAGGACCTGATATTGAAGAACTATAATATATGTTGAAGCTAAGATATTACTGCAGGATATTATATTGTATAATTTATAACACTTTAGCTCTTGATGTTCCAGAGACTTGTCACCAGCTTATACAACTCGGGGGAGGGGGGGGGGGGGGCGAAGCAGAACATTTGGGGTCAGCACCTTTGGGGGTCAAAACCTTTGGGATCAAACCTTGGGGTTCAGATCCTTATTGTAAGAACCTGGGGGGTTAGAACCTTCTCCAGAATCTTAATGGGTCAGATTCCTCTCCCAAACCTGATTAGTCAGAACCCTCTGTAAAACCTGAGGGGTCAGAACCTTCTTCAGAACCTTAGGGGTTCAGAACCTTTTCCGGAATATTAGTGCTCGGAACCTTTGGATCTAAACCTCAGAAACAGAACCTTATGGGGGCAGAAGAGGCCAGATTTCGTGGATCAGAAAGAATATCAAAATATAGAGAGGGCGGGGGCGTTATCTCAGAGAAAAGTAGAGAAAGATGAAGAAAACGGGGGTTGTAGTAAATAGTCTAGTATAGATTAATTCAAAGGGATTTAGACTTTTTCACAAACCCAAATGTTCTAATAGCTAGCTTTGCAACCTGATGGTACAAACCTTTGATATTTCAAATTTAGAATATTTGGTCTAACAGAATTTATAGTTTATATATGAAAGGTCTACGATATCGGGTTGCATAGACATGGGTTAATTAAAAATCTAAGTTTGTGGCACAATCTCAATTCCTTTAGATTCTCAACTTTTAAGATATTTTCTATAAAATTTAATAAACTGTTGAAGAATGTATGAGCTCAAGCTTGCCTGGCGGTTCCTCGGTTATCTTTTTTTCTTTTCTCTTTTTGTCTCCTAAACATATAATACTTGTATTATTCTTCTATATTAAACCTAAACATATAATACGTTTATTATTCTTCTATATTAAACCTAAACATTTAATACGTGTATTATTCTTCTTTATCAAACCTAAACATATAATACTTGTATTATTCTTCTAGATTAAACCTAAACATATAATACTTGTATTATTCTACTATATCAAACCTAAACATATAATACGAGTATTATTCTTCTATATTAAACCTAAACATATAATACGAGTATTATTCTTCTATATTAAACCTAACCATATATTACTTGTATTATTCTTCTTTACTAAACCTAAACATATAATACGTGTATTATTCTTCTATATTAAACCTAAACATATAATACGTGTAATATTCTTCTATATTAAAACTAAACATATAATACGTGTATCATTCTTCTATATTAAACCTAAACATATAATATGTGTATTATTTTACTATATTAAACCTAAACATATAATACGTGTATTATTCTACTATATTAAACCTAAGCATATAATACGTGTATCATTCTTCTATATTAAACCTAAACATATAATACGAGTATTATTCTTCTATATTAAACCTAAACATATAATACGTGTAATATTCTTCTATATTAAACCTAAACATATAATACTATTCTTCTATATTAAACCTAAACATATAATACGTGTAATATTCTTCTATATTAAACCTAAACATATAATACTTGTATTATTCTTCTATAGTAAACCTAAACATATAATACGTGTATTATTATTCTATATTAAACCTAAACATATAATATGTGTATTATTATTCTATATTAAACCTAAACATATAATACATTCTTCTATATTAAACCTAAACATATATACATTCTTCTATATTAAACCTAAACATATAATACATTCTTCTATATTAAACCTAAACATATAATACTTGTATTATTCTTCTAGATTAAACCTAATCATATAATACGTGTATTATTCTTCTTTTTTAAACCTAAACATATAATACGTGTGTTATTCTTGATTTATAATGTTAATAATGTTGATAATGTTAATAATGTTGATAATGTTGATATTGTTAATAATGTTGATAATGTTGATAATGTTGACTGGAGGGTTTGAAAAATTGTGAAATGTGAATACAAGTAATATTAACTCTCTCCTAAATTAGAATGCTGACATTAATTATAGTGTATACAAATACAGGGAATATTAGGACTGACAACCCATTAAAAAGTTAATTAGCTGATTTTTTATTATAATAATTATTAGAAAATTGACTTGTAAAATAAATATATTCGGTTTAAAAAAATATATATTTCCTAAAACTAGAACTTTACAAGTTGCATACAGTACATAATTAGTATTTTGTTGTTTCTATACTTTATTACTGCACCTGTATATCGATTATAATTTTTGACAAAATCTCGACTTTTCGAAATTGTTGAAATTTCGGCTTTTAGAAATTGTTGAAATTTTGACTTTTAATAAAAACCGTAGGTTGTGTGGAATCTTTAACTGTTGTTACATTAAAGAAAGACAAGTATAACAGTTTTGTTTTGTTTTGTTTGATTGCTGTTAAATGACAAATCAAATCTTAAAAGTTTATTTCGCTAAATTTTCATACTTAAAATACTAACCTATTTGAAAACCAAACCCTGACAACATCTCTGTCCAAACTAAAAAAAAACAACACATTATAGAATATTATTGGTTAGGAATTGATTTTTACCACAAACTCTAATTTTTGTTTCTCTATATCTTTGAAACCCAATAGAGTAGACCAGATGTAACAAAGTAAAAATTCTGTCAAGTAAAATAATGATCTGAGGTTAAAATATCAAAGGTTTACACCATTAGGTTGCAAAGATATTGGTAATAGAAAGTTTGAGTTTGTTGTAAAGACTCAATTCTTAGAACCATGTTTACGGGTTTGATCCAGAGGATTATGTAATATTATGCGGCTGGTGGAGTAATTAAAAACATTGAAATAAAAATTTATCGCTTCAGAGGCGTAACAATTATATTTTGTAATGGAGGGACGGGGGTTTTCCTTTTTCTAAATTAAATCTTTCTAGTTTTAAATATTTTTTTAAAAAAGAATTCATTTTTACTACTAGGCACCATTTTTGTCAAAATTTTCATCTTTTCCTATTGAGGGGGTGGGGGGAGGTAGAGGGGGTTAAAGGGATGGGCTACCCAGCCCCCCGGCCCCCCCTTCCTACCGGCCCCTAGTTGTGCCTCTAACTATTTTGAACCTTATTCTAAACCAAATTTAAGAGTTTACTAGATTACCATTTCACAATATTCTGATATCAACATTTTGTGGAAAATTGTAATACAATAAAAAGTCCTGAGGGAACAGAGCTAAAAGTTAGTGTTCTACCTTGTATTGGTTGATATTGTGATAAGCTGTTCATAGGTAGGTTTAGGGCATTGAATAAACACAGTTTCCATATATTCTCTAAACACAAGAACAAGGTTTAGGACTGATTAAACACAGTTTCCATATATTCTCTAAACACAAGAACAAGGTTTAGGACTGATTAAACACAGTTTCCATATATTCTCTAAACACAAGAACAAGGTTTAGGACTGATTAAACACAGTTTCCATATATTCTCTAAATACAAGAACAAGGTTTAGGACTGATTAAACACAGTTTCCATATAAGGTTTAGGACTGATTAAACACAGTTTCCATATATTCTCTAAACACAAGAATAGGTTTCGGACTGATTAAACACAGTTTCCATATATTCTCTAAACTCTAGAGTATGTATATCGTATATGACTGATAAAAAACTCGAATGAAATCGATTCACAGCCTAAACTTTCAAAGTAAATGAAATATAGATATATAAAAAATCACCCAATAGATTTCAAAAGCCGATTCAAAGAAAAATCGATGTTTTCCAAAATTATACCGCTAAGGGGACGGGAACAGACTGAGTAGTGCGTTTTGAAAAGGTTTAAATAAAAAATTTTGACCTATGGAAAAAATATGGAAATACGGAATCTTGCAAAAGTTAACGAAACAGGATTGGTATTATTTTACCTATTTCTTGCTTCTATCTTGGTTCGTTTCCTTCCAAAAAATCTCTTCTGGTCGGGTTCGGAGTCACTGGACGAGGTTTTAGAAGATATCTAGATATTTATATTTTATATTGGATGAGTGAGTCTCAATATTCTATAATTTTACGGGATTGAACTTGAAAGATGTTACAGCTTCAAATATCGTAAATAAAATGTAGACTTGAAGTCTCTCCATGGGTATATGATACATTTGAAAATGGATTTACGTACAGGGTTACCCACAAAGGATGGGACTGGAAAGACGATCAAAAACTCTTTAAATATGACACTCCCAATGTTAAATTAGTATTCGGCCTTAGATATAGTAATTCAATGGTTTATATAATGATTTGGCAAAGAAAGAAACAGGTTTACAGTCGCAGGAAATCGTGAATATAATATCCACACTCCACAGTCTACATTCCCAACACTCTCCAAACTCCCCGCACACCCCACACTCCTCACACACTAATCATGTACTTTTTAACTCAGTAGTTGTACTGTGCAGTGTGTACACTGTACAGGGTTACCCTCAAAGGATGAGACTTCAGAGACGATTGTACGTTATTCATACTTGTCTGTTTCTTTATATTCATGATACCATGCAATTTTATGGTTTCTTTTTTTGCCACATCTCATTAAATAAGCCTTGAAATTAAATATTAAAATTATTACTTCTTCAAAGTTTCAGGTTGTCTTTAGAGTATCATCCTTTGTGGGTAACCCTGTATCTACCTGTATACACCCAATAATAAACTTTATTTTGAAAATTGATTACAATAGAAAATTTTAATGGTTGTTTTTATTGTAAAAAAATATCTGAAAAACACTCCCTTTTCTTTCGTATTATCTCTCACCTTCTTCATGAAGCTGGACCGTTTTGATTTGATTGATTCAACCCATTTCTCCAACATCGGTTTTATCTTTAAACCTCTTCCCAGTGGAATATTCAAACTCTCAAACCTACTGCAAAAAAAAGTTTTTTTTTCGAAATTTTGACTTTTAAGGAGAATTAATATAAGAGAAACTGCGGAGGTGCAGATGGAGAAAGGAGAAAAAAGATGAACATTTGAAATTATTAACGTTGCCACGTACAATTTATTTTACAAAAATTATAAAAAAAAAAATTATAAAACATAGTTAAAAGAATACCTGAAAATACAGGGTTACCCACAATGAGACTTCAGAGACTACTACAAGGAATAATACTCCTGATTCCCTGCAACATGCAGTAAACTTGTTTGTTCTCTTCCAAATAGATAATTTAGGCCGTAGACTCATTCAATCTTGGAACCATCATATTTAAAAAGAATTTTCAGGTCGTCTTAAAGTCTCATCATTTGTGGGTAACCCTGTAGTTTCTGAACTGAACCAGCCCAACATGTCATAAAAAATGTGCAAAAAAATCATAAATCCCCATCCACTCTATTCCTGAGCTCTATTACTCCTTGAGTTTACCTGAGGGTTATTTCATCTATTTCCGGTCCAAATATTAAACTGATTGCATCTACTACATCAGCCAAACCAAATCCTGATCAGATAATAATATAAATATATAATGTAGTAATATCTGTTTGTTTTTTGATCATAAATCAGGAACCCCTTGACCGATTTGCCTCAAATTTTAATTAGGGAACTTGGGAGAACCACGGAAATGTACATAGGTTAGTTTTTAGATTCTAAATTGAGTTGGTCGACTTTTAAAGCGAAAACTTTGCTTCCCGGCAAAATCAACCTGGACAATGCTGAGTTCTCAAGCTAGTAATTATATAAACCTAGATAAGTAGATGTCACGATAACGAAGGGTCGTCGTTAAAGTTCGTTAACAAAGATTCGTCGTTAACGATCGTTTTTAAAAACGATCATTCCGTTTTCGATTTTTCGTCGTCGTCCCTAACAACTATCCACGCATCTTTAAATTAGACGTAAAAAAACTTTTCATTTCTAAAATTCATACCGTATCTAACCTCTTCACAAAAAGCTAAATGGGACGTAATTGGAAGGATTATTAATAAAAATCCTCTTTTGTGTCATGGGATTGCTGTTTTGAAAACATTAACCATTACAATCAGAAGTGAATAATAATAAAATTTTGTAAAATCGCAAATCAACTTTTTTGCAAGTCAGGAATGTTTCAAGTCTGATTTAAATCGTGTGAAGCAATATCAAAGAATTAAAGACACCTCATGCTTTTAAAAGAATGGTGGGTGGAAAATGGTGATTAAGAAAGCCAAAAAAGACGGACAACAAGAAGTAAGAGATAAGAGAAACCAAGAAGTATGTTGTAGTAACAAATAAACAAATGACAATATATATATGTGTGTTTTAAACCATTCAATTTTATTAAAGTAAATTGTTAAAAAAAATGTGGGTTTAATCATGTTTTAAAGGTCTAAACATTTTTCCAAAATATAATTTGAATTGTTCTTGGAAATATTGAGTACAATAAGATGCCATTTCGTGATGTGAATTGAATTCTGAATAAAATGAAATAATTTTTCTATCATTTTATTAAATGATATAATTATCAATTGTATTTAATTTATATCACGAAACCAAAGCTTTTCCTAAATAAAAAATCAAAATAACAATATCCCGGGTAAATCAATTTTGATAATATCCCAGGTAAATTAATTTTGATAATATCCCGGGTAAATTAATTTTGATAAAATCCCGGGTAAACTAATTTTACAATATCATGGGTAAACTAATTTTACAATATCATGGGTAAACTAATTTTACAATATCATGGGTAAACTAATTTTACAATATCACGGGTAAACTAATTTTAAAAATATGCCAGGTAAATTAATTTTAACAGTATAGCAGGTAAATTAATTTTAACAGTATCCCAGTTAAACTAAGTTAACAATATCACGACTAAATTAACCTCAACAATATGCCAGGTAAATTAATTTAAACAGTAACCTGGTTAAATTAATTTTAACAGTATCCTGGTTAAATTAATTTTAGCAGTATCCTGGTTATATTAATTCAAACAGTATCCTGGTTATATTAATTTTAACAGTATCCTGGTTAAATTAATTTTAGCAGTATCCTGGTTATATTAATTTAAACAGTATCCTGGTTATATTAATTTTAACAGTATCCTGGTATTATTAATTTTAGCAGTATCCTGGTTATTATTAATTTTAGCAGTATCCTGGTTATATTAATTTTAACAGTATCCTGGCTATATTAATTTTAACAGTATCCTGGTTATATTAATTTTAGCAGTATCCTGGTAATTATTAATTTTAGCAGTATCCTGGTTATATTAATTTTAACAGTATCCTGGTTATATTAATTTAAACAGTATCCTGGTTATATTAATTTTAACAGTATCCTGGTTAAATTAATTTTAGCAGTATCCTGGTTATATTAATTTTAGCAGTATCCTGGTTATTATTAATTTTAGCAGTATCCCGGTTATATTAATTTAAACAGTACCCTGGTTATATTAATTTTAACAGTATCCTGGTTATATTAATTTTAACAGTATCCTGGTTATATTAATTTTAACAGTATCCTGGAATTTATTTTGATAATATCCTGGGTGAATTTATTTTGATAATATCCTGGGTGAATTCATTTTGATAATATCCTGGGTGAATTTATTTTAATAATATCCTGGGTGAATTTATTTGATAATATCCTGGGTGAATTTATTTTGATAATATCCTGGGTGAATTTATTTTGATAATATCCTGGGTGAATTTATTTTGATAATATCCTGGGTGAATGTATTTTGATAATATCCTGGGTGAATGTATTTTGATAATATCCTGGGTGAATTTATTTTGATAATGTCCTGGGTGAATGTATTTTGATAATATCCTGGATAAATTTATTTTGATAATATCCTGGGTGAATTTATTTTGATAATATCCTGGGTGAATTCATTTTGATAATATCCTGGATAAATTTATTTTGATAATGTCCTGGGTAAATTTATTTTGATATTATCCTGGGTGAATTTATTTTTTACCTGCAGTTACTCTGATAGTTTTGAATATTGTTGAGAAGTTTTGAATCTCCCAGACTCTTGAAACAATATGCTGATCTCCTAAATTACTTGTTTTAAAACAATATTCTGATCTCCTAAAGTACTTGTTTTGAAACAATTGCAATATGCTGATTTCCTAAATTACTTGTTTTAGTTTTTTCCGCAAACTCTTATTTTCTAATTCTTTTATGTTTTCTATCCAATGTAGTTAAGTTAAGGTAATTCTACTTTACGAAGTGTTTCTAAGACCAATTTTGACCACAAGACATCCAGAGCGCTGGAGGCCCTAACCCGTGTTTAAGTATGATTTTTATTTTCCCGAAAAAGTAGTTTACTATTTTATCGTCTTTTGAGATGCTAAGGTAGAATTTTTTACATGAAAACTTCGCAGAGCAGGTCGTTACTTTACTAAATTGTCCCAAGGGATGTTAGGTAACTCAGTTAGCTGTACTGTACACTTACAATTGTTTACTAATATTGATATACTATAGGTTAGGCCAGAATGAACTTATAATAAACAAATATGCAGTATGCTCTCAGTATAGTTAATGGTCTATAAAATTATTAAAGGATTAGCGCATATCATCACTCTATACACTATGACCTCGTTGGTTATCTTCTTCTTTTTTATAAGATTAAATAAATAGCTATGAAATATTTTAAATTCGGTGAAAAAAGTAGGTGTTAGTTCCACACGTTCCACATTTATTGAAAATATATTTCGGTCTGGGTGGACCCTCGTCAGCTCTTGAGATTGTTTCTGTCAGGAAGAAAAAAACAATTAGGTTTCCACGAAATGGCTAAATCTTTTGCGCAAAATTTGCGCTTTTTGCGCAAATTTTTTTGGCGAACTTTTGCACTATTTTTGCGCATGAAACGCAATGAGTTTTGCGCGGTTTTGCGTTATTTTTTTGGCGCAATTTGGGCAAAACCGGAAATATTTTTTGCGAAAGTTGCGCATGAAACGAAATTTTAGTTTTGCGCAATTTTTTTTCCGCAATTTGCGCAAAACCGCAAGTTTTACGCAAAATAGTTTTACGCAAAATGTAATTTTTTAGGCAAATTGTCAAAAATTTATATTATAAGCTTAGAATTAAACAACTAAAGATTTATTCCATACACAAAAAATTATTAACATACGAGTATGATATCGATTATACTACACTCAATTGGTTACTTCCAGTCACAAAAAAATTAAATTAAGGGACCGAAATTAATAAAATAGAAATTAGAGAGTGTGAAACTTGGCAATATTTTAATCCTATTAAATAATTTCAAGCGACCCTTAAAAGCTTTGCCTAATCAAGTTTGAATTATATTCTAAAATTGTTTTAATCAAATTTCTGAAAACTTGAGTTTTGCAAAAGCGGAACAGGGCAATTTAGCGCGAAATGACTTTTGCGAATGATTAAAAAACAACAATTTATAAATTCTTTCGATGTCTCCAAAGTTCTGGGTTAAACTGTGTGAAAACCTGACTGATTGCAATATTAAACTCTCTTGAAATTCAAAATAGAATTTTTGTCCCATTATCTAATTTCAATTTCTCCATTTATCTGTGCAGACAGAATCTATACGTTTTCTTCAAGCAAAGCAAGAAATTGCGGACAACGAACCCGAAACGAAAAAAAGAAAAACAAAATTATATAAAAGAATTCATTAATTTATAAGATAGGAAGAAAGGTGATAACATTAAATAAGATGATTGGAGGTCGTCATGTTTGTGTCCAAGAAACGCCTAAACGATTGAACCGATCAGGCCCAATTTGTTTGTGGCAACTCAAATGACCTCAGGGAAATTTTAATGGACGTAAAAAATTTGAAAAATTTTGCGTGGGAAAATTGTTTTACATTTATCATTTCCGAAAATGCACCAATTTTAACAGAAAAATCTGCAATATTATCAGTTTTTTGAGATCAACAGTAAAAAGCCGTTTAACCAAACTCTAGACCGTTCTTTTTAAATGCTGGCCTAGATTTGATGCTTACCAATATTTGAAATGTTTTTTACAAGTTCTGAAAGCAAGGAATGTTCACCCAGTGTGGAAATCAAATTTCTGAAATGTTCATAAATAAATAAGTTTTTTTCAGAATCTACAAAATGAAAAATTCGGAATTTTTACCGACCTTCCATTCCCAATACCATCTGGAATAACCTAAATCAGAAAACAACATTAATGGGTTGTCAATGTTATTTCAATTAACCCCCTAATCTAAGATTTGCATATCCGATTCACAATGGACTAAGAGAATTATATCGTCGTTTTTATTCCTGAAAAATGTCAAAATTTCCTTCTATCCTTTCTTTCTTTAAAGAAACGACGATTGGAATCCAAATTTTCAGATAGAAAAAAAAGACATCTTCGTATTCAGAAACAAACTTATGAATCTGGAATGACTATCTATAAATGGGGGGAAACTTAATTGAAATTACATTGACAGTCCCATTAAGAGTTCATGATTATAGGGTTCGGTCTTAGTAGTTTTTGCAGGGTTTCATCAAAGCAAGGTTATAATGCAAAGAAAGCTAATTGCAGTTGCGTATACTCTGCGTACATATTGAAGCCAGTTCGCCCTGGGCGGTGTTTGTGAACAAGAATAGATACATCAGTGTTCTTCTAGTATCCGAGGAGGATAAAAAACATTTAATTTTGATAATTTTGATAATTCACATAAAAGTTTCCTTTGACCAGAATATTTCATTGATTTTTTATGCGAAAGATGAAACCCAGATACAGTACACTGCAGTACAAAAGATGCGTACACCTCTGAAATAACTTTCTTTGCATTTAACCTTGATCAAAGCAAGTTTTAGTGGACCAATAGGTTTCAGTTAGGATAGATACTCAGGTTTTTTAGGGTTTAATCTCTATTGGGTTACGTTACAAAGTTTGATTGATATTATTAAATTTCAAAAACTACATTAATTGCATCTTTATGATCAAATGATCAATTATTTTATTGAATTGATTTAATCCTTTTACCTGAAGATTAAAGAGTGGTGTATCCATACTACTGATTATATTACTTGTTGATTGAGAACTGGATGAATTAAATCCTAAAAGCCATGTCAGATCTACATTTTTTATATTTCCATACTATACAATAATATGTTTAGAAAAATAAGAAAGATACAACTGTCGAAAAGAAATACGACTCAAATTATGATTTTAAAAGCTTGACAAGTTGATTTTAAGCCAAACGATGAATTTATAGTCTTACTGTAAATAAGAAATATACATTGTATTTAATACGAAAATATTGTATTTACATATTCCATATCCCAAGGCAAGACATCTATTTATGTGATTGGCCTGCTTTAAAAGTAACATAGAAACATAATATTTGAGGCCTACTTTATATATATATGGCTACCCAAAAAATATGAGAATTTTAGAGACGACTGTGCGGAATTTATAATGTTTCTTTTTATTCAGGATTCCCTGCAACTGTAAACATGTTTCTTTCTTTGCCAAATCATTGAATATGAAATAAAAAGACTTAAACCAGAAGACTTGAAATTATTCCTAGGGGCGTCATATTATAAAAGTTTTTTGTCGTTTTTACAGTCTTATCCTTTGTGGGTAACCATGGATAAGAAAGGAAATATTGCTGTTAATAATTTTTCTACCTAACTCTAGTTTGTGTGAAGAAAGAAATATATTTCTGTTTCTAATTAATCTATAAAATAATATTTCTACCTAACTCTAGTTTGTGTGAAGAAATGGTAATGTTCGGTGGAGCAGGACCTTCACCTGAACACATACTTCTAATATATCAAAATAATATTTGCAATAATCAGAAATTTTTTATACTTTTGCCTAAAAGATGTTTGTGTGAAATCATAGAATTAACTGAAAGTCATAATTTAGCACTGTATTCTGTATTTGATACTTTTTCTTATCTAAATTGCTGTATTGGTTTTGTGCATATAAATTAAAAATGAGGGACTGTTAGCTTCTTATGTACAAGCTGGCTGTGTCAAGTGTGTTCAAATAATAGAGTTATAAAGATGTAGAGTATATAGGTGCACTTGAGTTAAAGCAGAATCAAATAGATGTAAATTTTGTTAACATTTCTCACACTAGAGGCTCTATTATTAAGTTTAAACATGAAGTTTGTGTTGTGTCAACTGAAACTCTTGGTAAAAGACAGCTAGCAGAATCCCGTTTGCTCTTTCAGCTTTCTAAAAACTTAGTGACCTCTACGGCGGAATATTGAGTAAAATGCACATGTAGCAGTATAATCAGACACCAACGGGAGGAGGTTCCAGCTAGCCCAGGCAGAAAATAGGGGAAGATGTGTGGGG